CTGGTTCTGTGCTCTTGCACACTTAATGAGATTTTGGCAAAGTTCGGGGTGTGGGGGTGTGTGGATAAGGGCTACCCAAAGGTGATTGGAAGCAGTGGAGTTGGGCTGCCAGGGCAAGATCACACCAGCAACTCTTCCAGTAGGTCTCCTCCCTGAGGTACTAGCCCCTGGCTGTTGCACACCAAGGCCACCAGCCACCAGGGCTCCTGCGGCCCCATCAGTTCAGCGAGAACCGAGCCACAAGGTGGGTTGAAATAACAGGGCCAAGATCTCACCGCTCAGTGGGGAGGGAGCCTGACTCCAGGCCCAGTAATGTGGCCCCTGGGCTGCCTTAGGCCCACCCAGTGCCCGCTCCTGGTTTGGGTGACTGTGCTAAATTCCTCTGGCTCTTGTCACCTATTGTATGAGGGACAGGAGCCACCAGCCTCACTCCCTCTCCCGCTAGCAAAGCAGAGTAGCCATTTTCTAAAGCAGATCACAGATAGGTGTCTTACAAGTGTTGAGAAGTTTCCTTCTTTCTACCAAGAGTTTTTTGAACTCTGAAGACAGAGTTACAAGTTCTGGATGATTAGCATTTATTAAATAAGCAAGCAAAACAAAGCTGTTTTATCTTGAAATAATTAGAGATTCATGAAAGTTTCCCCCCAAAAAATGTGCAGGGAGCTTCACGTCCCCCCACCGCACCCCCCAAGCCCCTGTCCCTAGTATCAGCGTCTTGTCACCACACTGCAATGTCAGTCCTGGGAGACAACATTGAACCAACAGCAGAGTTGCTGCCTATCAATTCTGTGTGGACTTGATTTACCCTAACTGTGCTATTGGGCAGTGTGTGGGGAACGGTTGTGAACTTCATGGCTGCCGTTGTGGCAGAGGGGCAGGCTTTGGAGCTGGACCCTCTTGGCATGTGCCAGGTATTTTCCCAAGTGGTATCTTCTTCCATCTTTGCAACAAACAACCTTATATCAGTTGCTGAGTGTTTTCACCTGCAACCGTATAATGCCATACCAATAGCTATCCAACTGGGGTTAGCATAGTAGCTCAGTGACCCACAACAAGGAGCCAGCCTCCGTTTCTTCTGCTCTGAATACTGTGTGTGTGTGTGTGTGTGTGATGTTGAGTCGACTTCAACTTGATGTCTCACATGGCACCCTTCTGTATAACAGAATATAAATGTGGCCTGGTCAGTTGCCATCATCATGATGGGTACTCTGTGATCAGCCGTGTAGTGCCCTCCAGCACAGGATGCTCATCTTCCCCACTACATCAGATAGTCCTCTGTTGAGCCCCATGGAGTTTCCACTGCTGAATTTGTCACAGTGGATCACCAGGCTCGCTCTGTTTCCTAGTCTGTCTTAGTGTGCAAGCTCCACTGAAGCCAACCCCCAGCATTGTAGCCACCACAGTACAGCAGAATGAAAGAAGGGTGCTAGGTCGTTGTTAGGCGCCATCAATTGGTTCCAACTCATAGCGACCCTATGTGCAACACAGCAAAACACTGCCGGGTCCTGCGGCATCCTCCTGACTGTTGTGTTGGGGCGATTGCAGTCATCCGCCTTGCTGACGGTTTTCCTCTTTTCCCTGACCCTCCATGTCACCAAGTCTGCAGCCCTTTTCCAGGCACTGGTTTCTCCTGGCAACATGTCCGAAATACCGGAAATGCCTGAGACAAAGTCTCGCCCTTCCTCGCTCTAAAGAGCATTCTGGCTGTACTTCTTTTTTTTTTTTTTTTGTATTTTTCTTAATCAATTTATTGGGGCTCATACAATTCATCACAATACATAGATCAATTGTGTAAAGCACATCTATACATTTGTTGCCCTCATTATTCCCAAAATTCGCTTTCCTCTTGGGTTCCCGGAATCAGCTCATTTTCCTTTTTTCCCCTCCCCCTCCCTTCCTCCTCCCCTCTCCCCCATGCACCCTTGATAATTTATAAATTATTATTGTATCTTATATTACACTGTCCGGCGTCTCCCTTCACCCACCCCTCTGCTGCCTGTCCCCCAGAGAGGAGGTTATATGTAGCTCCCTGTGATCAATTCTTCCCAGAGGAATTTGTTTGCTCTTGTGGCAGTCCACGGTACTTTCAGTGTTCTTCACCGGAATCCTAATTCAAATGCATCACTCTGGGGTCCTCCTGACTCAGTGTCCAACATTCACACGCATATGAGGCCGTGGAAAATGGCATGGCTTGGGGCAGACGCACCTTGGTCCTCAAAGCTACCTCCTTGCTCGTCAACCCTTTAAAAAGGCCTCATGCAGCAGGGTAGGAAACCCTGGTGGTGTAGATTTCCCTCAGCCAAGGACAACGGCCAGCGTTCTGCTGTCCATCCACTGACCCTGGCAGGTTGGTAACGCTCTCTAGCATGTTTCCTCACTACTGTTTGAACCCCTGTGACTCTTCCATCAGGGGGTTCCTTTCACTTGCTAAGAGGAGATTTCTGAGTGGAGTTTCCATAGAGGACCTGAGCAGTTTTGTCTACGGAAGCCTTTCTTTTGGACTCATTAGCCAGAGCGTCACTAGACAAAGCGTGTCAGGTCCCAGCGGAAGCTCCTCCACTCTTAGAGGCTGGTCGCCGGTTGCCACGTGGTGGATGAGGCAAAGTCGCTTGCCAGTCTGGTTCGTGGTCCTTTGCAGGTGATCTGGCTTTACTCTCGGATGGTCTGTCTTGATCGGAGAGGGACCCTGCTTCGGTGCCAGGTGCTTTGTCTCCAGCCTTTGTCCGAGGGTCGGTAGCGCAGCCCGGCGCTCCCCGTGATCTGCAGCATCTGCTGGATCAGAATCAGAACCGAGCGTCTGCACACAGGTGCTCTCAGATTCGCTATCTCACCTGTGGCTCTCTGGACTCACGCCCTTCAGTGCGCTCACCGGTGATTCTAGGGCGCCCCGAAACATGTCCTCGACAGATTGCAAAGCTCCTAGATGTTCTCTTTCTCTGCTCTGTGTTCTGGAGGGTTACTATCTTGTAATCATTCTTTCTTCAGCAGTCTTGTGTTTAATATCTTTGTTTCTAGTTTAGTGTTTATACTCTTTTCCCCTAGTTTATTCCTTGTCATAACCGCCTGACATGTTGTGGATCAATCTCTCCCTTGATCTCTTTGGGGATTAGAAACATGCTCTCTCTAAAGTCTCCTCCTCTTCGACTCTGAGGGCTCTGAAGTTGTCGGCTCCGGGGACTCCGTTGCCAGGCGGGTTTCCTTATGGGCCCTGTCATTCTTGTTTGCAAGGTCGTCTCCTGTGGGGCTTTCTCTTCCACGTGCTTTGTTTTGGGGACACCCTGATGTTAGGACCTTCAGAGGGGCCTCCCGCTCTGAGTGCCAGACTCCAGACAAGGCCCTTGGGAGCAGCTCCGAGTGGGTGGCAGAGGACAGCAAAGTAGGCGCAGCCCGGGCTGACCCCCAGAAGGTGGCCGCTTCTGCCTTCCCTGCACAGCTCATTTCCAGCTCAAACCCTAGCTACACGTGACCATTCCAGCTTCAGGAGGAGTGAAGTTTCTAGAGTCCACCAGGCCTGGGGCCTGGGGCTCGGACCCACCCCTAAGTGGCCACTGAGAGCCAGCCCCTCCTGACTCCCATCTCTCTTTGCTCCCCAAGGGGTATGGTGAGGTCCGATGCCCCCGTTTGTTCCTATAGGATCCCCTTCCTCCCCCCAAAGACTTTCTCTTCCTTGTCGATAGATAGCACCCTCTTTTCTGAAAAGTAGTATTTTAAACAAACTTTCCCTTCATTTCCGTGCTTTCCATTTAAAGGTGTTGGGATTCGAGACCACCAAGTAAGTGTCACTCATTTTGCCCCAACTGAGAAATAAGAACCCAGTCACAACCCTAAAGGCATGAGGCATGCCAAAGCCACCCTGGCCCCTGGTGACCAGGGAAGCTCGCTGATGCTGGAGAAGGCAGGCTCTCCAGGGGAAGAGCAGACTCGCGCAGGACAGCGGTGCCCACCTCCTGGCAGCTCCATCCGGCCTCCAGTGATGTACACTGTTGTGCATTGGCCCTCACGTGGATGAACACCTCTCTCTCTCGCTCTCTTTCACTATCATTGCCTTTTGTTATCAGTAGCTTTGTTTGGGGGGAGTTGAAAACACTACCCCTGAGAATGATAACATCATCAAATTATGCACTGCAGCATCACGTTGTAAATATATTCACTAATGATAACAGGTAAAACAGAACCAACACAAGCCAGGTGCTCATAAGTGGGGGTTGTCGTGACTCGGAGGCCTGTGCAGTGCAGTCTCTAACTCTCGAGTTCAGTACAGGTATTCACTGGCCAACTGCATATTCCCCAGTGTCCTTTCCTCATCACCCAGGGAGAGGAGTAGAGAAAAGGAGGCGGCTATTGTATGTGCTCCGCCTCGTCCACTCCCTCCAGCTCACCAGGGCAAGGCAGCGCGCTTTGGAGCAGAGGCTCAATGTAATCACGACTGAGCTTGCATGTGTGGGTCTCTGCCGGGGACAAAGGCAGACACTAACACCAATATGTCCTCCCGAAAAGGAGAGCTTTGAAATTAATTGTCTAGGATTGTTTTGCACCCCACCCTCCACCCCCATTCCCACCTTCCTGTTATGGAATGAATGTGAAAGCAAACGAATAATCAGAAAAACTCAAACTCGCTGCCATGGAGTCATTTCCTATTCGTAGGACAGAGTAGAATGACCCCTGCTGGTCTCTGAGACTGTAACTCTTTGCAGGAACAAAGCCTCATTCTTTCTCCCAAGAGTCAGCGGTGGTTTTGAACTGCTGACCTGGCAATTAGCAGCTGAGTGCATAACCCACTCCGCCACCAAGGCTGCAAAAGAACAATAAATGTTGTTGGATCTACTTCCCTGAGTCCACCTCCTCCCATGATGCTTCTCTTATCATTTCTCCCCAGGTCAGCTGTCTGTGCACTGCATGCCTTTCTCATTAGCCGAGACTGGGTCAGAGCGCTGAGTGTAGGAGACCGGGCATTAAAGGACATTGGCTAACTAGTACATTCTATTACCTTCTTTTTCAAGATCATTCCCAGCGACCCCTTCTGGGTGCCGACCACCGAGGAAGAGTACCTGCATTTTGGAGAAAAGGCTGATTCCGAGAACCAGGCCCGGAAGTACATGAACGCAGTGCGCAAGCGGAAAGGTCTGTATGTGGAGGAAAAGATTGTGGAGCACGCAGAAAAGCAGAGGACACTCAGCAAAAATAAGTAACTGCCCTGGAGGAGCCGTGAGCACGCCCACCCGCCCAGACATCTGTGAGACCGGCTCTGTCCGCGTGCTTCTTTCTGACCCCTGGGCATTCCCTCCAAATAAAGCTAAGCCTCTGCGTGCGTGAGAGAACATGTTTTCAAAGTGTCCCTTCTATTGATTCTGGCGGAGGCAGGTCGTGACTATCAGTGTGTGTTGCAGTGGCGAGGGATTACTTCCCTCGGGTGCCAGTTCTTGTTGGAGGTCTGCCACCCAGACCCGTGGGCAGCAGGGCTTCTGCAGGGAACGACCATCCCTGGGCTCCGGCTCCCTCCATCTCCATCACAGTGCCCTGCTTCCGTGACTCTGCCCTGGGAAGATCTCCTGTTTCACATCGAGTCACCACGTCTAGCGCCGTGTGGACAGACCACTTACTTCATCGCAGCGTTCCTCTCCATAGTCAAATGCGCCTCTCTCTCAGCTGGTCCACTCCACAGTGCTATCTAGATGAAATGTAATGTCCAATAGTTAACTGTTAAATCCTCTGGTCTTACATACTTCAAAATGTCAATGAAAGGTATATTTTTTAAAAGGTAAATCTGTGTCTTTTCTTTGCTATTTTTTTTTCATAACCGTACTGAGGGAATATTCGCTAGTATGCATGAGGCTGTTGCCTTATTGTAAACATTTTTGTTTCCGTAATCCTCAGTCACCTCATGGAAGGTGACCCCCACTCATTGGAAGGGACTAATGCCACCCCAGCAAAAAGGGACCTTGTAATTGTGGGTGTTTTACAGGTATATTTTATAGCCACTTGAGAAGTTCTTTTCATAATCCATAAAATTATCAGCTAGGACTTTGATTTTGAAATACTTTGAATGGATTTCCTCAGTAGACCAGGTCATTCTTAACAGGAGTTGCAAATGTTGATCTCAGAGATCCTGGCCCATCTGGCCAAGGCTAATTGACCAAAGACCTTGGGGAAAGTGGGCCTAGACTGCTTAAGTTGAACAGATCATGGTAGCTGAGTTAATTTAGGAGCACTATACCACGAATTGGTTTATTTGAAAACGTGGATAACATGGGAAAAGCTAGCCTATTGATTTTTAGCATTTGAAAATAACATCATTCAAACTGCCAGAGATGCTATAAGAATTGTTCTTAACTCCACACTACCAGCTGAACCCTCTATGCGGTAGAGGGAAGAGCCATAATCCAGAGAGAACTGGCGCTCTTCCTGGCTTCTGTTGGGCCCTGCCAACCGTGCAGCGAGGGGGAGTGACCTGTCCCCTTGACAGGGAGCCGCTCTTCCTCCTCCGTGTGTGGGGAGATAGCAGTGAGCAGTACAGTGGCCACCCGCTGAGATGTGGCTAATCTGCCATCTTGAGTAGTCGACCCCCATGTGTAATTTGTGCGGGGGACCCAGGCACAGAAGCCCACCTGCCCGTCCTTGACAGCACCGTCAGACGGTGTCTTTACCATGCTCAAACCTGGCCTTCACTTCTTGGGTTTACTGGAAGGGCACCCACAAATTGTCAGTCCCAGAATCTTCTACAGGAATGGGTGCTTACAGTGGACAGATCTCAAGGGCAGTGAGAAGGGGGAGTTCAAACTGTAAAGCCAGAACCTGCACTCCTGGGGGTTCTTTGTATTGGGGTCCCGAGGCAGTCGCCCTACTCCAGGCCCGGGTATAGACACAGCCGTGATACTTTTTCCCGGCCAGCCCCAGGGGAGACACCTCAGTGGTGGTGTCCAGGTGGTAGCCTCGCTGAATGTAGACAGCCGTGACGTGATGCACGCCACGGAGTCAGCCCCATCCCCTCCCTCACCGACTCAGCACAGCCCACAACATCTTCCAAAATCTATTTCCCCTTTCCCCCAAGCAACCGAAAGACTCCTTTAAAGGGTCCCTCAGTAGCTTTGATGGGGGTCGGTCTGGGCTTCCTGGCATAGTCGTGGAGTGCTGCTCCTCGCAACAGCCAACTGGAAACGGGCCCCAAGAGTGAGCCTCGAGTGAGGGGAGAGGCTGAGGGCCCTAGCCCCCTAAACCCCACTGGGCTTAGACCAGTGCTATTGCACTTGGGTTGAGAGGCTCGCAGGGCCCTGTTTCTTGGGTCAGCGTTTCTATAGACCAGAGAGGAAGTGTCCATCTACTAAGTTCTTAGGTGGCAGAAACCACTCACCCAAACTCACTGCCATCGAGCGGACTCTGATTTACAGTGATCCCATAGGACAGGGTAGAACTGCCCCTGTGGGTATCCGAGCCTGTCACTTTACAGAAGGAGAAATTCTCACCTGTCTCCAGAGAAGCAGCCTGGTGGCTTCAAACTGTTGACCTAATGGTCAGCAACCCAGTGCGCCACCACCTGACTCCTAACTAAAGGCCGGTGACGTGACCCACCCCACGGTGCTGCAGAAGAAAGGTGTGGTGATGTGCTTCCATAGAGCCCACACCAAGAGAACACCGGAGCAGCTGTTGGCCTGGGGTCACCCGCCACGGGTTGGAATTGACTCCCCAGCAGTGATTCACTAGCACGAGGTCTCCGGGCACCATAGCTGTCCCTGAGAGCTCCCATCTACTGGTAGCCTTCTGCCTGTCAGGCCAACATGAATGGGCTTCAGAAGTAAGTGGGGAAATAATTTTAATTCCATTCTTCCGTGAATTCTTTTAAGCCCCCTTACGTGTTACCTCATATACAGAGTGTATATATATGTGATGTGCACACACACCCTCCACATGGACACATACAATATTTGACCTTCACCCCCGTTGTATGAAACGAGGATAAGGAAATTTGTCTTACAGGTTAGGTCGCACCTCTTGGAAGGCCTCCTGAGCACTTCACAAAAGGGTCCCCAAGATGGGTGCCTGACGCATGTGAGGTAGTTAGTTTATTGTGCCAACTTGGCCGATAAACACGGGTTAATTGAAGGGCAGGGGGATAAATGGCTCGGTGAGCCTCGCCTTTCGAGTTCTCGGGTCTCTTGGTTTCTGATGGTCGGACCAGGGTGCAGCTGCCTTAGCAGTTCTCTGCTTCAGCTGGCAAGACTGACTTCCTGCAAGACATCCCCAAGGAGAAGCCACATGGACCTACCCCGATGCCGCCCTGGGTGCTGGAGCAGCTGTGTGGAGACCCCTGCCAGCGCTGACATGCTAACACGTTCACTGATTCAGCTTTCCTCCTGCAGTCGGCATCATTGTGTGTGTTTTCTGAGATGGAGGAGGACTTTGTGTATTGGTGTTGGACTTGTGGGCTTGGGCAGCACTGGGTTGGGATGCCTTCTTGATGCGCACTTAACTTTATATAAAACTCTCTTATACATGAGTTTTGTGGATTTGTTTCTCTAAAGTACCCAGACTAATACAGTGTGTTGGGGCCAGAGAAGGTCTTGCTAGAACCACAATATTTGCTGCTTGGTCGGGGAGGGGATCGAGGTGTCTAATTTGTTTCCTGTGTTTGTGCCACCCGTGGCCCAAGGATCAAAGTAGCCATTTGTGCCGCCTGAGACAATTGACTTCAGACACTCTGTCAACCTGGTGCTCTTGTAGGGACCTCACCTGTCCACCACCAAGTGAAGGCGGCCCAGCGCTTGTGGCCCGCCTGCCCCCTTTAGCCAGGTGAATAGATAATTACATCCTGGAATTAGAAAGTGGTCTATTGTGCAGTAGTCAAACTCATCCTTTTTTTAGTTGGGGTGGGGGTGGAGAAGAGTTAGAAAATTAGTAAGTCAAGACTTTTCTAAAAACAGCACCTGATGGATGTCACCCTGTGCGTACACAGCAGACCATGAAAGAGGATCCAGTTAGTCCACACACAGCGTGAGGCCCGCAGAGCTACCGGGTCTGCACCAGCAGTTTGTGATGGGGTGTAATCACATGCTGAAATCCACAGGGAGATCTGTGTCAGAGTCTTGGGGAGTCAAGGTCATACCAACCAGAGAAGAGGACAGAGGGATGGGGCAGCACAGAAATAAGAGTGGGAGCCCACAGTCATGGGGGTGGGGCTTCTTCCCAGCCCACCTTGCCCCCAGCGTCTTGGCCAAGGGAGGGCAGATTTTTCTGCTCAGGGCCCTTTGGAAATTGACGCCATTCGGCTCCGGGGTCCTGGTGGAACAGCGACTTCGCTCACCTGGCCTGACCAACATGGGGGCTGGATGACTTCCTTCTCCTTCACCCTTGGCCTTCTGGCCTTCCTGAGCACATCTCAGAGAACCCGGCCGTTGTAGCACCAACACAGGTACCGCTCCTGTTTACCTCTTGGGGTTAGGATTGTTTCGACTTAGTCTAATCATGGGGGGCGACCCCCCCAAAGCTCCATTAACTGAAAACACCCTGTGGAGCACAGTTCTCTGGCACTCAGGAGTCACCCTGGCAACTGGGAAACCCGGAGAACCCTGGAGGGTCAGACCCGGCTGAGACTGTCACAGGATTAAGCTTCGTGGGGAACAGGGTGTAAAGCAGCTCTAAGCCTACTGGCCCAGACTGCATTGTGATTTCCTTCCCCTAGTGCTGGAGGTGAGTGGAGACCTGGTGGCGAGTTGCTTAAAACCCTTGAAAGATCAGCAGTTCACGTCCACCAACCACTCTGCAGGAGAAAGAAGAGGCAGTTAACTCCTGTAAAAGTTTACAGCCTTGGAAACCCCGTGGGCAGTTCTACCCTGCCCTGTAGGGTCGCTTTGGGCTGGATTGGAGTGGATGGCACTGGGTTTGGTTTGGGCCTGAATTTAAAGTCCTTTAAACACAGCTGCGACTTCCACTGTTTTTGTGAACTCTGACCAGGTGATCGTGAGGGAATTTGTTCATGTTTGAATCAGCAAAAATACAAATAGTTTTCAATTTTCCTTTTTACAAAAACATTCCAGTTGATTCATGAAGCTCTTATCTCTGGACAGTACAGCATTGAGATTGGGGGCTAGGACTCGTGAACTCAAATGTCAGTGTCAGTCCTGGCTGAGGGGCCCTGGTTAAGTGTGAGACACACACACATACACATACACACACACTCCTGTGCTGGCAGGAGTCAGTGATAAAATCCGTGTCAGGACACAGTGGCTGGTGCATTGTACACAGTGGATCACAAACACTTCTTACTGGTCTTCCCTTTGTATCCGCATTCTTGAGCAATGTAGAGACATGGAGAAAGAACCTGTAT